ACCAAACCCTTCCCCATCACTCCCACTGTAAATGATCCCAATGTACCAAACCCTTCCCTGTTCAAAAACAATTATGCAAAGAACTGTGGATGCTGGAGATCTGAAACAAAAACAGAAATTGTTGGAGAAACTCTGGGAAGAAAGCATTCTCCATTCACTCCCATTGAGAATACTTCCAATGGACTAAACCCCTTCCTGTTTAGTCCCATTGTAAAGAATTCCAAGAGACAAAGCCCTTGTCCTTAGATCATTGCAACAAATGCCAAGAGATCAAACATTTTCAACTGCATTCATTGTATACCAGTCATTTTCCATTCACTCCCATTGAAAAGAATCCCAATGGACCAAATCCATTCCCACTAACAGCTATCGTTTGGAGTGCTGATGGGTTCAGCTTGTTTGAATGGTCCTATATTTTGACATGCTATTCATGAAGTGAGAGCTGAACACAAACAGTTTCTTATCATACATATACATGTGAACACTTCCAGCCACTGATCACTGCAAGCCTGTGATTTACCCTCTCTGTGGCTTACTCGCACAGCATGGTATAATGTGAAAAAAATTAAATACTGAGGGATTTAACAGAGAAGCTGAAGCTTTGGTCTTTGTGACTCTACAGCTGTGTAACAAATTGGCTAACTGATATTGTCGACTCTTTGTCCGTCATTATGGCTCATGAGGAAAGTAGACTCAAAATCAAGAGGGCAAAGGTCAAGTATGTTCTTGCTATAAGGTCGCAATGGAGTGAGAATGGAATATGGATGATATGATCGATGCAAGCAGGAAGTAAAATGGGTTTCAAATGTTACACTGCAATCCTGGGCAGAATGAATGGTGATTCAGGCTCAGGGAGCTGATCGGATTCCTCCTGTTCTTAATGTGACTGGGAAGAATTGTGTTCGACTCTTCAATGTCGAGTTTATCTGTTTGAAAAGCTCTGACCGAAATTCCACCCTCTCAACTATTGCCCATAACCCAGTAGTAACTGGGATAAAAGGCCAGAAAGTGACAAGGGCATTAACAAAGGCACTCACTTTGCCCTGGCACGTTTGTGAAAGAGGGAGGCTGATCCGAGTGGCTCACATTTCCTGTTACAAACCCCGCTTCACCTTACATCAAACAACTACGCCAAGGGCCTTACAGGACTGGTGGTGCCAGGGTCTCCTCCTGGTGCATCCTCTCTGTCTGCCGGAGTTTGAGAATCTCACTGTAGTTCATAGCATTCACCTTGTTGCGGAACAGGTCAAGGGAGGTGGGCTTGGAGGCCAATGTCCGTGTGATCTGCTCCCGTACCACCTGCATAACCTGGAACAGAAAGCACAAGAGCACCATAGAACATAGAACTGTCCAGCAAAGGAACGGGAGCTTGGCTTATGATGCTGTGCTGAACATGACGCCAAACTAATCCCTTTTGCCTGCCCTTGGTCCATATGCCTCCATTCCTACCATATTCATGTGCTTATCTAAAAGTCTCTTAATTGCCCCTATTGTATCTGCCTCCACCACTACCCCTGGCAGCACGTTCCACACTCTTTCCACTCTCTGTGTAAAAAACTTGCCCCTCACATCTCCTCTGAACTTTCCCCCTCTCACCTTCAATGCATGCCCCTTGGTATTAGACATTTCAACCCTGGGAAAAAGATTTTGACCATCAACCCTATCTTTGCAACTCATGATTTTATAGATTTCTGTCAAGTCCCCTTCAGCCTCCGCTGCTCCAGAGAAAACAACCCGAGTTTTTCTAGACTCTCCTTATAGTTCATACCCTCTAATCCAGGTAGCATCCTGGAAAATCTCTTCTGCACCCTCTCCAAAGCCTCCATATCCTCCCTGTAATGTGGTGACCAGAACTGAACGCAATACTCTAAGGTCTTAAAAAGCTGCAATATGACATCCTGACTCTTGTACTCAATTCCCCAACCAATAAAGGCAAGCATGTCATATGCCTTCTTTACCACTCTATCTACTTGTCTGGCCACTTTCGGGGAGCTATGGACTTGAACCCCAAGATCCCTCTGTACATCAGTGCTGTTCAGGGTCCTGCCATTAACTGTATACTTTTCCTTAATATTTGATCTCCCAAAGTGCAGCATCTCACACTTACCCGGATTAAACTCCATCTGCCGTTTCTCCGCCCATTTCTGCAACTGATCTATATCCTGCTATATCCTTTGACAACCTTCTACACTATTCACACCTCCACCGTTCTTTGTATTGTCTGCAAACTTACTAGCCCACCCATCTACATTTTCATCTAAGTTATTTATATATATCACAAACAGCAGAGAGGTCCTAGTATAGATCCCCGCGGACCATCACTATTCATGGACCTCCAGCCTGAAAAACACACTTCCACTGCTATACTCCATCTTCTGTGGCAAGCCAATTCTGAATCCAAGTGGCCAAGTCACCATGGATCCCATTCGGCTTAATCTTCAGGATGAGAGTCTACATGAGGGTCCTTGTCGAAAGGCTTACTAACATCCATTTAGACAACATCCATTGCTCTACCCTCATCGATCAACTTTATCACCTCCTCGAAAAATTCAATCAAGTTAGTCACCATCAACAGCTAATTGAGTCTTTCAACAGTAAACATCTTCCCCTCTTGGCACTAACATTAACTGTTCACTAACTGCTCCTAATATTCAGACCACTCATTCACTTAGCCACAATTACACCAATAGAAGGTATCCACTTGGGTTATACTGCACTGTGCAGTGGCAAAGGCAGTGCTTAACCATTATACTCCTGTAGCTAACTGCCCAAATAGTTGATGTTAAGGATGCTATGATACTATTCAATGAAGTCCTCCATGTGTACTTAACCAAATCAGCAAAAACAGAGTTTTAAACTTTAAGGATCAGCATAGTCAGCCTAGAAAAGATGCTGGGACACCTACTCAAACCAATATAACAGTTTGATACAACTGAATGATTTTCCAGGGGATGCCATGGACAGTTAAATGGTAGCAATATAGTTTTGGGACTGGAGTCATACATATGCCAATCTGACAACGTCAAGGTCACTTTCACTACTAAGAGCGTTTCATGGCTGTTTTGCTTTGGAGTGAGTTTAAATTCTGGGATTTGAACTCGCATCCTATTGATTGTTCCATCTGTCGCTCAGGATTCTGCTTTCCTTTTCATACTCATTCACTGCCACGATGAGAGTGTCCCTGATTTAAGTATTCCTATTCTTAAACTGCTGCAGTCTGCCTGACGTAGGTACACCCAACAGTTCTCCAGGATGATGGCCCAAAAACAGGGAAGAAACCGTTCAAAGTTAATATGATGTGAGGCTTGAAGAGGAACTTGCATGTGGTTTTATTCCTATGTTTCTGCTGCCCTTGGCCTTCTAGATGATAGAGATCATGGGTTTGGAAGGTACTATTGATGGAGGCTTCATAATTTGCTGCAGTGCATTTCGGGGATGGTACACACTGCTGTTGGAGGGAATGGATGTTTAAGCTTGGGGAAGGAGTGGGTGAAGACTGTACTCCTGAGTCTTGTACTTGTGGTCAGACTTTGGGCAGTTTAGGAGATGAGCTATTCACTGCAGGATTTCCAGCCTCTCACCTGAGTACTATTATGGCTGGTCCTATAATGTTTCTGGTGAGTGGTACTCATGATCAGTGATTGAACGTCAAAGGGAGATGGTTAGATTCTTTCTCGTTCGAGACAGTCATTCCCTGGCACTTACACAGCACAACGATGACTAACCACTTAGCAGCCCAAGACCAGCTCTTACAGCATGCTGATATGGACCACTTCAGTATCTGATGAATTGCAATATTGTGCAGTCATCATCAAATATCTTCATTCTGACCTTCTGTTGAAGGACTTGACTACATTGAGTAAGTGTTGATGAGACAATGCTGCAAGGTTTCGGGTGGAACAATAGATCAGAATTTCAATGGAACTGTGTTGAGACAGCTCGGCTCCTGGGGTTGGTTTAATCAACAGGGAAATTACAATATTCAATACTGCCTTTTGTAACACCCTTCCTGGGACTGAAACTCATTTACATGGAGTAACTGAATTATCTTAACTACTCTGGTGCATCAAACTGTTGTAACTACATAATCAGCTACCAAGCTGACATAGTCAACAATAGCAAGCCACTGTATTTGGGAATGACCTGGAGAGCTGTATTTAAAGAGGCCGCTCAAATCAGAGGGGCTGACACTCCAGATACAATTTCAGCACAAGGAGCAGGAACCATGAGAGTGAGAGGAACAGCGTCAACCTCAGCGCAGCCAGCTGTAACTGGGGTAGTATAAACTTCTTTACCATCTTGTGCTTCCAAAGCAGATTTTAAACCAGTGTGAGAACACAGTCATTTAGGAACCGTCAGGTAACTCAGGAAAGCAAAGGTTTCACAGAAGTCTTTCTCCTTCAATTCCTCCCACTTCCTACAGACAAAGTAGGTAGCCATGGGTACCCGCATGGGCCCAAGCCATGCCTGCCTCTTTGTAGGATACGTGGAACAATCCCTCTCCCGAAGCTAGACTGGCCCTATCCCCCACCTCTTCCTCTGCTACATCGATGACTGTATCGGCGCCGCCTCGTGCTCCCACGAGGAGCTTGAACAGTTCATCCACTTCACTAACACCTTCCACCCCAACCTCAAGTTCACCTGGACCATCTCCAATACCTCTCTCTCCTTCCTGGACCATCTCCAATACCTCTCTCTCCTTCCTGGACCTCTGTTTCCATCTCGGGCAACCACCTGGAAACCGATATCCATTTCAAGCCTACTGACTCCCACAGCTACCTAGAATACACCTCCTCCCACCCACCTTCCTGCAAAAATGCCATCCCCTATTCTCAATTCCTTCGCATCTGCTCCCGAGATGAGGCATTCCGCTCCCAGACACCCCAGATGTCCTCGTTATTCAAGGACCGCAACTTCGCCCCCTCAGTGGTCGAAACACCCTCGACCGTGTCTCTCGCATTTCCTGCAACTCATCCCTCACACCCCCTCCCCCCAATAACAACCAAAACAGAATCCCCCTCGTCCTCACGTACCACCCCACCAACCTCCGGATCCAACGCATCATCCTCCGGCACTTCTGCCATCTGCAATCCGACCCCACCATCAAAGACATCTTTCCCTCCCCACCCTTATCTGCTTTCCGGAGGGACCACTCTCTCTGTGACTCCCTTGTCTGCTCCACACTCCCCTCCAGCCCCACCACCCCCGGCACTTTTCCCTGCAACCACAGGAAGTGCTACCCCTGCCCCTACACCTCCCCCCTCACCCCCATCCCAGGCCCTAAGAAGACTTTCCACATCAAACAGATGTTCACCTGCACATCTGCTAATGTGGTATACTGCACATCTGCTGTTCCCGTTGTGGCCTCCTCTACATCGGGGAAACCAAGCGGAGGCTTGGGGACCGCTTTGTGGAACACCTACACTCAGTTTGTGACAAACGACTGCACCTCCCAGTCGCGAACCATTTCAACTCCCCCTCCCACTCCTTGGACGACATGTCCATCCTGGGCCTCCAACAGTGCCACAATGATGCCACCTGAAGGTTGCAGGAACAGCACTTCATAGTTCGCTTGGGAACCCTGCAGCTCAATGGTATCAACGTGGACTTCACAAGCTTCAAAATCTCCCCTCTCCCGATCGCATCCCAAAACCAGCCCAGCTTGTACCCGCCTCCCTAACCTGTCCGTCCTTTCTCCCACCTATCCACTCCTCCCACCTCAACCCCCACCCCCACCTCCTACCTATCAGCCTCATCCCGCCTCCTTGACCTGTCTGTCTTCCCTGGACTGACCTATCCCCTCCCTAACTCCCACCTACACTCACCTTTACTGGCTCTATCCCCGCCTCTTTGACCTGTCTGTCTCCTCTCCACCTACCTGTTCCTTTATCCATCTTCTATCCGCCTCCCCCTTTGTCCCTATTTATTTCAGAATCCTCTTCTCCTCCCCCATTTCTGAAGAAGGGTTCACACCCGAAACGTCAGCTTTCCTGCTCCTCTGATGCTGCTTCGCCTGCTGTGTTCCTCCAGCTCCACACCTTGTTATCTCTTATTTCACGGAAGCCTGTCGTGTTTCAACGACAATAAACTATGCCTCATGGTAAACCATGTCTCATTATTAGTGTAAAACAAGTCCCAGTAAGTAAACAAGTAAACCGCACACACAAAACGACAAGGGGGAGACTGATCATTCGCTTAGTACCTCTGGCTGAAGATGCAAATGCTTCAACCTGATCTTTCGCAGGACTTCAGACCCAGAGTCACGGTCTGAACCATTGCTTGTGGGATCACATAGCTCTACTACATGT